AGAGAGAGAGAGAGAGAGAGAGAGAGAGAGAGAGAGAGAGAGAGAGAGAAACAACAACAAAAAGTTGTATAAGGAAGCACGTACTGATTAACTGTTCAATTTCACAGATACCCCCAAATCCATTCTCAGTTATAAGGAACGGTGTGAGCTGACTGAAATAAATAACTAAAAGGCAGGTCGGTGAGCATCTATTACAGCTTCCCATTTGTGGGGAAAGTGATCCTAATGCTGTTCATTAAATGACAGCTGTGGGCAAGGCATTATGAGCCAGACTAAGACAGGACAGTGAAGGGAGAAATTCTCTACTGCTCCCAGAAGACATCGGCTTAATATGCTGCCAAGGCTAAAAAATCCAATAGCAGTGGGCCCAGGACCTTCGTGAAGGCTTTTTGGAAACAAAACAAAACAGATTATCCCCTTTCAGAGAACCATGATGCAGACAAATCTGGAGTACTGTGTACCATGCCACTCTGAATCTCCAGAGACTCAGAGGAGACAGGAGAGCCAGAGAAGGGCAGGGAAGGCCTTCTCAGGGCTACCGTAAGAGATGGAAAAACAGGATTCTTCAGGCTGCAAAAACAAAGGAAGATTAAGAGGATAGGCCTGGACACAGTAGAATTAAAAACGGCTGTAGGAAGCAAGCATCCTGACTTTCCCATTCAATCCGAGGACACACACGGGATTTCAAAAGAAGCAGCTTTGAGGACACCGGAGGGAAGATTGCCTGGGTAGTGCTGCATGCCTATGAACCCCAACACGTGGAAGGTGGGAGAGGGAAGATGCGGAGTTCAAGGCCAGTTCTGGGCACATAGTGAGTTCAAGTTTGACACCTGCTTGGGCTACATGAGACCCGACCTCAAAAACAAAGAGATGAGGGGCTGGAGAGATGGCTCAGTGCTTAAGAGCAGGTGCTACTCTTGTAGCAGACTCAGCAGACTCAAGTCTGGGTCCCAGCACCCATGTCAGGTGGCTCATAAAGGCCTGCGACTTCAGCACTGGGGGGGGGGGGGATCAGATGCCCTCTTCTCACTTCCAGAGGTGTTTGTATGCATGTGGCATACACATACATGTACATTTAATAAAAATGATAAACTAAAAATAAAATGACTTTGGGTAAAAAGTAAGAAACGTCATAAATTTCCTGGCATAGCTAATTTCTTTCATCTTTTTTCCCTGCCCACTGGGCTAGTCCACAGGTACACACAATTTTCTTCACTTCTATAGACACACTTATAAT